AATTCATATTTATTTCCAGGTAATTTTTTGTACATCAATAAATTTTAATTCCGTTAATTTCATCCACAATGCTTGTTCCTTAATGGAATTAAACTAATACACAATTTTTTTATATTGTGTATATTGTTCATTCTGTGAATGAACAATTTATTATTATGATATCAATGACAAAAATTTTCATGGACAAAAAGTCTGAAAAATTTCATCGAGAGATTTCACTTTAGGAGTTTTTATTGCTAATTAGTGAATTGACTTGGGAAATTCGGTCAAGGTAATCAGCTCGGTGTTGAATTCAAAGATGTCATGTCCTGGAGGTAAACCCGATAAGGAAAAGTATTCATTTAATTTTTAAACTTCAAATGCAACGAATATATTGACGCAGCGTCATGCATGTAGCTGGAAAATTCCGAAAACATTTCACATGTATTGCAGTGAGTACTTGCAAGTCTTCAAATTTATGCCCTCAAACGAGCTAGCTTCCTTAGTTTGTTCTGCGACTGAACGAATTTGCCATCCAGGTTTCAAAAGTTGATGAGCGTTATTATCCCTGTACTTCAAACCAGGCTTTCTGATCTTCGCTAATTGCTTCCTATAAACTCTCCTAACGGGACACTCCAGCGCGCGCAGTTGCTATCGCCTATATTTGATCGTCGTTCATGTGCAGTTAAAACTTCGAACTTCAAGGTCGTTTCTTCCTGCAGTTCAAATTTTGCGTTGATATGGCATTTTACTTTCAGATTGATTCTTTATTAAAATTGTTATTTTATTACAATTTTTGACTTCGTAAGATTTCCTTCGTCCCAATGAAAGTAAGAATGAACACTACCCCACTTCCTACGCTGAGAATGTAAAAAATGATTGGCGGGTTTTAAAATACGTAAGTTTGATCGACGTCCCGCGTAAGCGACGTTCGGCTTCTCAGGTGTGGATCGAAAGGTGAATTGTTTTTTTGTACTTTATTTGGTTTCCCAAACTCTCGTTGGGTCGGTTCGTAAAATATGTTGGGGAGCGAAATTTATGCGTCGAGCGAAAGGAAATTTTTCTTTTAAGAAATTCAATTTCCCTGTCAGCAATAAATTTTCTTTTTGCTGGTGAATTGCATTTCTAAAGATATGAATTCCAGTTTCAATTACGGTATTTCCGTCCAAATATTGCTACGTTACTTTGATGCATAAATTAGTAAATATTTAATTAGTGCCGCTCCATTACCGGCCTATTAGTTTTCTGCCAATTAGTTTTCTTAGCGCCATTGCCGACGTGAACTGACAGTGAAATCCAACAGTAAAATGTTACTTTACATAGATAATAAAGTTCATACAACAGTATATGTTCTAGTTTCCACGTTTTAGTTTCAATAAAAAAAATTCGCGGTTTAAATTTTTGAACGTACTTCAATATTTTCTTACATATTTCCTAATAAATAATTAATTTATCTGCAAAATAAATTCTATTTGATTGGAATTTCGCAGTTTCCGTTTCTTCAGAATTGAATAAATCGTTTCGAAAAATGTAGTTGAAAATCTTGTCTTTTCAACCAAATTTGAATCTATGGCCAACCAATTTCCTCCGTTTTCCCCAAGGAATTTTTGAGTAATGGCCCTTAGATTTAGATGTCGTTTCTATAATCACAGATCATCTTTTTCATTTTGAAAATTCGCGTCAATACTTCCCTGGTAAATAAGTTGAAAATATTTATTTTCATAAGTATACATCGCGATTTATGAAATAAATTCCCCGTGGTGATCTTAGCGTGCGATTTTTAAGGATCACCAGGAAGAAAGTGAAAGACCGAAGTCAATGTCATTTAATTAATATAGATGGTCGTCATTATTCAAAGAGACATTTTCTACTGAGTATTGGCAAAATATTTTCAAACGTGAAGCATCTTTTTGATAAATGGGTATCTCTAAATTTTTGGCGGCTTGGGGTCTCCATTTCATAGACACTTGCACATTTGATGCAATCTAAACTTTGTGGTTCATGAATAACGCTACACAGTTTCCTTCAAGGATTACAACCCGATTATCTGCGGTGAACGAAAGGCCGATGGCTACCTTAGGAAGAAATAAATCTTTTAAATGCAACCATTTCGTACCATAGTCATCCTCTGGACTGATATAATCACGCAAGCGTTCACGACGCTGTCGAGGTATGGTGTATAGTCACCATATGTAAAATGCGTGATTTGTTGACTGATTGTCATTACAGTTTCAAGTTAAAGTTTATTATTACAGTTTTTCATGAATAACATATCTTATTCCTATGAGCAGAATCAGAAGTGCGATATTCGCTGCTGGACTGGAGGCAGCGCTACTGGTTCACGGTGCAGCCGCACACCGGCGTCGTGGCGCTAGTGTCTCCTCTCGACAGAGAAACTACATCACACGTGAGTTGGAGACCAAATAATACATGTGCTATGTGTATTGAGACAAACGCTTCACTATTGTATTGAGAGTTAATCAGTACTGATGTATCCGTGTAGTACGGAAATGTGAATAATATTGCCGTTGTGGCAGGTAAATATTTTAGGATGCTTTCTTTATGTACTTGGTTAATTGTGGTAACTTACGAATAATAACAAACCGTTCTCGTCTTGAGTAATCGGTTCTCAGGCCGCCCCATCTAGTTTTGCTGCGCTAGATAAAAAATTTCGAGATGCAGGAAAAGTTTCACTGCGTCCCACTTTTCATCAGCACCAGTGAGACGCGCTCCACTCTAAGAGAATAATTGATTCAATATAACTGGTCTACTCGCTAGTATCTGTGAGCAATCCATTCGCAGAGCGAAATTTATTCCAGGATTATTGAATAGCAAACGGTGGCTTTCTAGTGGCTATCTAAAGTAACCTCAAAGTTCATACCGATTTCAGTTGCCTGGAAAACTTGCAATATTCTGATCCTATGACTAACCGCTGACTATACCAACTTGTTATCAAACCTTCAGGTACCGACAGGTACCTTGACGACGGGTAACTTGCCCGTAGATAAAGTATCAAATGCACTCTTAACAAAATCACAGCGGCTATCTGATTTCAAACTGTATTTATATGCGAGATCATTAAAACCTTGCTCATCAATACTGTTATCTTTCACAGAAGTGTTCATTCGTCTGATACGCTTTACGCCGCTGTCATTGAAATGTATTCATCATAGTATCTGTTTTACAATATTTATTAACTATGACAAGCTGAACTTGGAGATACTGCAAGTTTCTTTTCAGCTGTCACGAGTTTTGATCCAATATTCATCAGGCTTCGGAACTTCAGACTTCAAGTCTTCTATTTTTTTCTTGAACGTATTCGCTGGAGAAGTCCAGTCGAGATTAGGCTCAATTTCACGACCCATGACATTGTAGGTGCAATTAATCAGGAACCAATTGCCCTGCAGACGAGTTTATCTACCTCGCTAAATGCAGGAACTCTTATAGCCAAACACGCCTGAGTCAGCACTTTTTTTCTCGTCTACTAATTTTTTTCCGGGCTCTAATTAACTTCTTATCCTTCATTTCGGGCCTCTACGGCTTCGTTTTCCGGAGGAATGACAACTACAATTGTAATTGCTCCTTAGGAACCGTCCTTTCGATAGCGAATTTTGTCCAAACTTTGACTGTTGCCATAGAAAAACTATGATCCCTTCAACTAAAGTGTTGATTGATCCTTGCTCTTGGAAAACTATTCTAACCTAAATTTTGGTGAAACTTAACGTCTGATTGATGAGGGTGATTTGTGCAAGTGCCTCTATAAAGTTTTTCCATATCGATGGAAATAATTGCTTCCCGGCAATCGTCCGACCACTGGATGCTAGATAGATTGCCCTTTGTGCTTGAAATCATGTTCATTATCTCGTCTATTATTATTGCAAAAACTGCATCCTCATTAGTTGCACTTTACGTAGGCAGTTTGAATTTATTAGAATTGTATTTCGTCGGAAGATTTCGCATCATCATTTCGCCCCAGGCTTGCTTTAAGCCCCCAATTCCGAGCAGCGCCTAAAAGTGCTTGTACACGGGGACACTGCAGGCGGCAAGTAGATATGGCAAATATCGGCCGCTTGGTGATTATCCGGCAAGTATAAGCCTGTACACGAGGACTGTATAAGGTGCCGATATCTTCTCGTTCGCGCCCGCCAGTGCGCCATTGGAAGCCGTAGAATGAGGTCTGCGAAAATTGATAGTGAGATCACCTTCAACAACTCGAGTCTGTACGTTGATGTTATACTCTTTATTCTAGCCCTTAAAAATGCAACGTCGGGAACAACTAAACCCTGACTAATCAGGTCTTCTTTCAGTTTCAAAATACTCGTTTGTCTCTTCATTTTGTTGAAGTAACCATCATGGCAAACATTTCACATTAATTCATATTTTTGGAATATCTCAAAGAACAATTGAATATCGTCTGGACTCCACTTTGTTGGGTTCTTCTTAGAACCATTAACATTCAAACAAGCCATGATTCACTGGACCCAAGAACTTCACAAGAGCGGCACAGATACTCTCACCATGACTGAATCAGCGCTACTGGCCGCTTCTCCACTAAGCTCATCTCCAGCGAAGAAATCAACACATTGTTGTCCCTCTCGGCCGTGTCTCGGGCACATTCCTTTGAAGCGACTGAACCCCCCCCCCCCC